TATTAAAATAATTGGTAACATTTATTTATATTTTTAAGTAATTTACTGAATACCTCTTGCAACTAGTTGTTTTGTGTAAAAATAAACATTCGGCTAAAATTGTCACTAACTGTTTTTTTTTTACACATTTTTATTGCGAAGTTGGTCTTAAATTGAATTTCAAATGGCATTAAAGAGGTCTTAAAAAGTCTTAAATTTAACTTTCCTTAAGCTGTAGGAACCCTGGCATTAAGACAGAGCAGCTGATGTTCCACGAGTTTAACAGCAAGAAATAAAGGTTAGCACAGGAGTTTTAATGAGATCAAAAATAGGAATTCCTACACAATATGATGGTTACATTTAGGATGTATTAGAGTGATGTAGACAAAAGTTAAAATATCTGACAATTTATTTTTGACACATGCTGGTTGGTTACAAATGTTAGGTAAGATTTCTCGTGTTGTTTTTATATTACTGTAAGGTTTGCCAGCACTTATAAAATATATTAAAAGGTGGGYTCTTTGCTAAATCACAGTACATGACAAAGTAAGTTTTGTTCTATGATTGCAGAAATGCATGAAGTGAGTCATCTTTCTTTTGAATGTTCTCTTTTATTTCCTCTAATTGGCACATTTTAAGTTGTACATTCTAACAAAGTGGCTAGACAGAGTGTGACACCTTTAATTTTATTAAACCAAACAAAAGCTGAAAATACTCTTTTAGCTTATGTTTGCTAGCAAAAATGACAATTTACAAGTGACCTACTTGCATGAATAGTTTTTAAAATATACTTTATTAGTTAACTTTATTTGTAAACTGTGCCACATCCTGTTTACTTTTTAACCACTGTAAATACAGTCTTTGTTTTTACTTAATGTTCCATTTCATCTTCAGTCTACATTCAAACTGTTTTGATTTTTGTCCATACCTTAGTTGATATAAATAACAGTTCTTTGTTTTGAGCTCAAAGTCATTAAAATTGTAATGAATTCAACAGGAAGCACTAAGATAGAGCAGAGATCATCTGCCAGTTGTTGCAGGCTGTGTGCCTCAGAGGGCAGCAGAGCTGCAAGCCCACAGGAGTTACTGCTGCTGTCAAGCTATTGTTAGAACAGCAGCAGTCACCCAGGGGATGGAGTCACTATGTCTCACTCAGTTTTTGCTCTTATGCATGTTTTCTCTCAGTCTGTCCTGTTCATTCKCTCTCAATTGTGTCACTTTTTTATYTTMTTTTCAAATTGTGTTGTTCTCCCCCCTCAATCACAATCTTTGCTTCTTATTTCAGTTCGTTCATAATGAATCAGAATGTTTTATTCATTTAGTCTTTGGCTTTGATTTCCTTTGTTACCTAACTACTGGCACGCAGCATCTCCTGACCCACTTCTTTCCTCTGTAGTCTCTGTAATGTGTCACTCCTGAACAAATAAGCTGCTGTAGACATTCATCCATCTGTGGGTCAGTGTAATTCTAGGAGTTCCATTAGGCTTTATTATGTTACAAGTTTATCACTTTTAAAATGATTTACTTAGCAGCTAATCACTGCGTAGCCTTTCACTGTGCCTCCAGATATAATATAGCAAGTAGCAAGGGTCRCATCGTTTAGCTTTAAGACTCAGTTTCATCACCTCCTGTTGGCAGACGGCCACCCTTTTAAAGTGACGCAGCAAAACAAGAGCAGGATGCAGAGTTAGCCCTCACCTGYCAGTGCTTTTCAGTCAAACACTTCACCACACTCTCACAATGTCATCCTCAGGTATGAGCTGCGAGTACGGTACTTTCCTAAAGGTTATCTCAGCCATTTCTCTGAAGACAAACCTTCTCTCAACTACCTCTATCACCAGGTGAGAAAACAAAGCCGTCTATCATGTAAAACAAGCAGAGCTGTTTTCAGTTTTATCCGCAGTTTATTGGTTTTCTGGAACAACTAGTCAGCCAATTAAAACTGTAGCTGTTTCCATCAACGTTTTTAAATGCACATTTTGAAGTATCGCATCAGAAAACGTGAATGGAAATGGCATGATTTGGAAAAAACTTCCTCTAATTCGCAAAAAAAAGAGGAAACCTCACTAGAGGTGGTTTTGGGGTTTTTCGAAAAAGCATTAATGCGCAAAATGAGAGATGGAAAGACATTTAGCGAATAAGTTCTGACGTAGCGAACATTTACCTCACATGGTTGATCAGGGGTTCCCGCTGTCTGAACGGTACCAGTACCAGAGCGACTGCAGCCGCGACCGGCAGCAGGACCCTCCTCCCGCTGTYGGCGTCTTCTCAGTTATTCTCGTAACGTGAAGAGAATTGCATTTCTTTCTCTACGTCTGCAGACAGCATGTAGCATCACCTGAACTAGTTGATATGACAGAATAATTACAACTTTCCCGATAGTAGCAGCGCGYTCCTGATAACTTCTCTCCATTTTCCTGAGATGCGACWTTTACTGCCTGTTTACTACACACACGTGTCTGACGTAATTGATTCGCTTCAAGCCAGTTGATGGAAACACGTCTGATTCGCATTTCTTTGCTTTTTGCGAAATTTWAAAAATTTGCTCAAATTTTGAATTAAAATTGGATGGAAACACGGCTAGTGGTGCCCAAAGTTGGGGTAGGGACCCACAGTGGGGGGCCKTAGTTKTTACAAAAAAGTGAGGTTAGTGTATGTTATTATGCCTTTGTTTATTTGACCTGATACCAATGTTTATTAACCAAAACCAGTTTGAGGACACAGGGTCTCTGCTGCTGTTGTTTGTGGGTAAAAAGCTGAGAAACCACTGATTTACATGGTAATCTAAACATTATATCAAAAGCAACTGGACTTTTTTTTTCTTTTCATTGAAGCATCAAGAAAGCTCCTCACAGGAGAAGCAAATGGTTCAAAATAGGGAAGTCCAGTTGCATTTGATTTAATTTGATAGACTGGGTTGATACGTAATATTAATGCAACCCCTGCACAATCAAAAAATGGCGTTACAATGTTGTTGTTTTTTTCTCCAGGTGAAAAGTGATTATATGCAAAAAATAGCTGACCAGGTGGATCAAGATGTTGCACTGAAACTAGGCTGTTTGGAAATAAGGTAGGAACATTGCAGCTCATAAATTTCAACCAAACATTTAAGCTATTGCTTCAGTTTTACATGTTTATCAGGCATTTGTTTAAGTTGAGTTAGTTGTGTGACTGTTTTCTTTTACATGCATGAGAAATGATCTTTTATAAACATATTTTCTCTTTGTTTTTTATAAAACATATCTCTTGTTTCTGTGTATTATACAGGAGGTTCTTCAGAGAGATGCCAGGCAATGCTCTTGACAAGAAATCAAACTACGAACTACTTGAGTAAGGCTGRTTGTGTTTGGTTTGCACTAATTTTTTACTTCAATAGTGTGTTCAAAGATGAATTTGCAACAGTTGGAAGTAATTTTTACAAATCTTTGTAGGAAAGACGTGGGTTTGAGAAGGTTCTTCCCTAAAAGCCTGTTGGATTCCCTGAAGGTGAGATTAAACTACCATAAAACATAAAAAACCCACCTAATGGTTTTTATCTGACCAACTATTTGATAACAGAAGCTCCAGCAGCAGATATTATCTCCAACTCCTCCATGTTAAACTGTTGGAATAACAGCTGATGTGCTGTTTGGTTGAGTGGCAGGACAAACTTGATAACTGGATGGATTTCTCTCTAAATGTCTGATTATCTGATTGTGTGAAATTGAGTTAAACCTCCTGTTGCCCACAGCTCGCCTCTGTCGATTGTGTGCTGTGGACCCCAGAAAAAGAYTCTAATGTTTTTTTCTTCTTCTGTTCCCTCCTCTCCATCAGGCAAAGACTCTTCGGAAGCAGATCCAGCAAACTTTTAAACAGTTTGCTAACCTCAACGATGAGCAGAGCATTCACAAGTTCTTTGAGATTCTCTCTCCCATCTTCCCCTTTGATAAGGAGTGCTTCAAATGTGCTTTAGGGGTAAGACTCTAGTTTTACATTTTAGCATAAAAAAAGCAGTACTGAGAGACTTAGGGCTGCTGCATACTTTAAAGAAGCAAGAAATTATTCTCTCTTTAAAGGCTTGAAGACAAGAATGACATCATTCTTCTCCTGCAGCTTGGTCTCTGTGCAGACCCTTTTTGTGCTGCAAGGCCCGGATTTGACGTCAGCTACTATTGCTCATTGATTGGTTCACAGACCGGCGGGGTTACATCACACAGATTAGAGTAACTTTACGTGAATCATTTTCAGCGACTAACATTTTTTTTTACAGCAAGCTACCAAACAATAACAACAAGCTAACATTAACAACCATTAGCTTACAGTTTTTTGTCGTTCTACCCTATCATCTTATGCTGGATGGTCCAGCTCAAGTTTGTTTTGTCACAAATAAAACAAAGTAATACTTGCATGCGTTTTATATCATGACTCCGCCTACATTGAGGCAGTTCTCTGCTCAGTGCAAACACAACCAGGGCCAAGGCAGAGTAAGGTCAGGCCGACTGGAGCAGGGGTGGGCCGAGCTGCGCTTTACGATGCAAAAATACCTATTGTGTGGTTGGTCAGAAATCTGAAGTGGGTGCATGGTTTTAATGCAAAAAGCAGAAATGTTTACATTCCAGTGTTTTTGGTGGCGTGGAAGTTTGTGCAGTGGATGTTTTTGAGGAGTAAAGTAGAACAAAAATTTGTATAACCCATCTATATAGACTTATAAAGGTTTTATAAAGATTTATAGACCTTATTGATTATTTTAAGACAATACATGAAAAGGCTGTGGAGTGCATTTGTCAAAAAATGGTATATCCTTTGCAACAAATTTGCATATACTAAATGGCATGTTCAGACAAAAGAGTGGTGACGCTGGTGGGAAACAACCAGTCCTCCAGTGGGAGGGCTCTATGAAGATTCCCTATTTTAAAATATCCAGACCAAAACAAACYGTGTTCTTGTTGACAGCTCAAGAAAATGATCACATTTCTTGCTAAGGATGCGTCAAGCTTTAGCTTGCATAGGTCATGTAAAACAATAGTTATTCTTTAAAACGGGACATGTCATGTAAAATCCCTTCTTTTAGCTGTTAAATACATTTTGTTGTGAACTTGGAGTAGGAGTGCAGAAAAGTTGAGTTTAGTTTCTCCCGGTGATGAAAATATATCTTTATATTCTGTTTGGGTCGTATTTTTCAACCTGTTCAGTTTTCTCAGTTTTGTTTATGACTTATTTTTTCTAAACTATTATGTCAAATTATTTGCGATGGAACCGCTAAATCAGGTCTGGACTTACCAGCTACAATTAGGTGGTCTTCATTCTCCTCTGGTTCTGGGTCAGACTCTGGCTCCAACATGTAAGGCTGGATGGACAAGTCTTCTGTTGYTGACATCTTTTATTTAATTTGTAAATAAAACATTTCTGCTCCGCTGTAAACCCCTCCATCAAACTGTAATGAACCGGTCTGGAAGCCGGAGAGGGGCGTGGTGTAAAACTCCTTGTTTGGATTTAAAGAGGCAGCCTCAAAATAAGTTATCCTGAGACACACCTCAGAAAAAGGGTGAAAGAGGGGCTTGTGGAGTTACAGTAAGGAGGAATTCAGACCAAAGCATTGCAGTTCCACTTTATATAGACCCCAAATGAATGATTTAAATGTAAAAAAAGGGTTTAAAAGCAGGATATGTCTCTTTTGACAATCCTTTAGAAACGGTAGCTCTTGTTCCACAGTTCTACTTTTTCTGCTGTGTCATTTATCTATGTAAACTTCACCCTGTCACTGAAGACATCGACTATAAGAAAAAGAACACGATTTTTTTTCAATGTATGCATTTTTTATCTTATGTTTATGTATCTTTACTATGTGTCTTTGCTCTCCCCTTTAGTCTAGTTGGGTAATATCAGTGGAGTTGGCAATTGGACCAGAGGAAGGAATCAGCTACCTCACAGATAAGGGCTCAACGGTGAGTACCCTGACAAAGTTAATGTCTGTATTTTTATATAGTCTTACAGAGATTGTAATACACTTAAAACTGGGAAGCCGTGAGTGTTATATCACCCCCTGCTGGTTAGTTAGTTTGCTCCAAACTATGTTTAAATGAATTTTGTAGTGCCAGAATAGACTGCTAGTGCTTGGTCTAGTACAAATCTAATGTATAAAGACATACTCACTTCTCACAATAGACAAATCTTTTTATGTATTTCAGAAATGCTTCCTTACATAAAACTAAATCAGCATATCACACGTCACTGTAGCTCTGAACTGTTACACAGATAGGCAGCTTGTAAATAACAGTACTCACTTTCCACTTCTTACCAAAATTAAGCTCCTGCCTTGCGAAACAAGTACTCCCGCTAAGTTTCTGTGGGATTTTGTCAATAATTTTCTCTTTTATTCATCACGTTAAATGCACTCTTTTTTCATATTTTTAAATGTAATATCAATGTGTTTTGCTTCCTGCTTTGTAAAATGCTATGATGTCTCAAACGTTTGGTTTTGTTTCCTTCTTTCAGAAATGATRTAGAAAACCACTGATGATTGTCCAAAATTACAAAAAGAAAACTCTCTTTGTCTCATTTTGGCTTTTAGCAATTAGTGTCCTGGTTTAATTGAGCAAATTCATGAAGAATTTTGTTTCAATTTTCTCTAAACAAAGCTCGAAGTGTTTATCTGTTGTTCTGTTGTCGTCATTTTGTTTCCTGTGGTTTGGATACAACAGATTTGAGTTTTTGCAAAACTATTCGGTTCTTCTTTGCCTATTTTTAGTCCATTCTTTTCAGTCTCTGTTTGAGAAGCCTCCTTTACTCACGCTATTAAAATGCTACTTACTAAATGTTGTAATGAAACTTAAAACAGAAGCAGATATCAGAAAACGGCTGAAAGTTTACTGAAACTGGGGACTCCCAAGTTATGACTTTAATGTGAAAAACACAAACGTTTACAGCTTTAGTGTCTTATGCTGGTACGTATTGTGTTAAAACTCAGCAATGCCAGCTCCTGACTGGTTCTTCTCTGTTCTGCTTGGCTGTTTTGGCTCAGTTTTTAAAGTTTGCTCTTGACTTTGACAAACACTTAKTCCAGTCGCCCACTCAGCTGCCTTTTTAAAAGCCCCTACCATTTTTTCTGTGGCACTAAATAACTGAGATGATTTCCAAAACGTTTGCTCYTTGCTCCATTCCGAGTCTTCTACAAGTTTGTTGATGTGTCTGTGTATTTCTTTATACTTGCAGCCAACACACTTAGCTAATTTTAACCAAGTCCAGTCTATTCAGTACTCTGCTTTGGAAGAGAAGGACAGGAAAGGCATGCTGCAGCTGAACGTAGCAGGAGCTCCAGAGGTAAGAAAGTGCATTCTGTATGCTCATCCACTGTTTGTTTTTTTATCATTATTAAAATAAAGTACACAGTACGTCTTTGTAAAACTTAACCTTGCTTTGTAAAAGAGTGGATCAGGAAGCATGAAAAATCATTCAGTCATCTCCTTTTGGGATGTTTTTTTTATGTGAATGATGCAGTTTAGACAAGACTTCAAACAAGATCTTTAGTTCTATTTGATTCAACAGATTTAAATACTGGTGTGACATTGTATGCTGTAAGGTTATAATTATTTCACTACAAATATTGGTTGGAATCTACTCAAAGTGGAAATGGTCATGGAAGTATTCATTCAAATGAAACTTATTTTGCCTAATTTTCCATAAAATCTTTTAAAATGATGATGCACATACGCTGCTGTATTTTCAATTTGCCTCTTTATTTTTCCTGTCTTTTTAAATTGTAATGTATTTTCCAGACACATAGTTCAATTCTATACCACAAACAAGCTGTATATATA